TTTTATGCTATGATGAATGGGGTAGTTTTCCTAATTTCTCTTTCAGAGGATTCATCACTGATATATAGAAATGCATTTGGTTTATGGGTATTAATTTTATATCCTGCTATTTTACTGAATTCGTTTATTAATTCTAGATGTTTTCTGGTAGAGTTTCTTGGATCCTCAAGTATAGAATTTTGTTATCATCAAATAATGATGGTTTGAGTTCTTCTTTTCCTATTTGTAGCCCTTTAATTTCTTTCATCTTTCTAATTGCTCTGGCTAGAGTTTCAAGGACTATGTTGAATAAAAGTGGTAAAAGAGGGTATCTCTGTCTTGTTCTAGTTTTTAAAGGGAAAGCTTCCATTTTTTTTGCATGTAAAATGATATTGGCCTTAAGTTTAGCACAGATACCTTTTACAATGTTGAGGTATATTCCTACTATTTCTAGTTTTTCTAATGTTTTGAACAGATGGGGTGCTGTATTTTGTCAATGCTTTCTCTGCATCAATTGATACAATCATATTATTATTCTTATCTTTAGTCTATTGATGTAATGAATTGTATTTATTGATTTCCTTATGTTGAACTAACCTTGCATCCCTGGAGTGAACCTCACTTGATCGTGGTGCCAAACTATTAGTATGTTCACAGTAAATGAATGATATATATTGAGGCATTATTGTTTGACTCTGAACATTATCCAGATTTTCTTGGCTTTTATTGAATTTTCTTTTTTTGTGTCCCAGAGTTGTATCAGGAAATGACATTACACAATCATCATGTCTCCTTAGTTTCCTCTTAGCTCTGACAATTTTCTCAGAATTCCCTTGTTTTTGATCGCATTAACAGACTTGAGGAATGCTGGTCAAGATTTGTGTAGAATGGGCCTCAATTGGGGCATATTGATTTTTTCATCATGTTTAAACTGGGTTAATGGATGTTGGGAAGAACACCACAGAAGTCCTCATTATGCCATATGAAGGTACATGTAATGGGCATTATTTATCACTATTGATTTAACATTGACAATCTTGTTTGAATTGGTATTAGCCATGTTTCCCCACAGTAAAGCTGTGCCTTCTCCCCTGTTCCTTCTTGTGCTCTTTAAAGGAAGTCACTAAGCTCAGCCCACCCCAGAAGAATGGGGAATTGTGCCTCACTTTCTTCAGAAGGAAGTCTCTATTCAAGATGTGAACAGGAGGTTTATCTAGTCTAATTTATTTTGTCACTTCTCTCTATTTGTATGGGCCCTTGGTTATTTATTTTATGCTCTAGGTTTCATCTAATGTTATATGATGTGGTTTGTTTCTCAAAGTGTTTCAGCTTTGACTACAGGTACTCTTTCAGCTGACCCCAGTGTCCCTATGAAATGCTCTCAGCTCCATGGACTTTTGTTGTTGTTGTTGTTGTTGATGTTTGTATCTGTTTGTTTGTCTTTGATATGTCTATACTTTCTGCTGCTATAAGATGCTGCAGTAAAAAAAGGGATTATATATTTTTAAAAAACAACAATATCTTAAATGCCTTAGTAGTTTGGAGTACTTTATGATTGTCAGGACATCATCAAGTGAACTTTCTTCAATTTAATCCAGATAGATGATACCTGGAGCTCAAGCCATACATTGTGATCACAGAGCTAATTATAGCAACCACCATAAAGAATATAGATAGAGATTACAGATATTAATAACTTTGTGTTTCATTCAAGTGAGAGTGCAATAAAGAAATGGGATTGATGGAGGATGAACACTCCAAGTCATGCTTTGCTTATGGAGAGATACTAATAATTTAGATTTTTTTCCTAAGAAAATATGCCATTAAGTAATGTAATTGATAGGAGGTTTTAAAACTTTTACTTCTCTTCTAGACTAATATGATTGTTTCTACTAAACTAATACTCAAAAGTACATGTGCTAAGAACAAAAAGCAAACCCCAAAACCAAAACAAAAACCCAAAGGTCAAATGTTTTTGCTGATATTTGGAAGCTAAACCACAATAAACATGGTAGGACGAGAAAAAGAGAAGTTCAATAGATTAGACAAAGGGGAAGAAAGGGAAGTTGGGCAGGAAAGACAGTAGAATAAATCTAACGTAATTTTCCCATGTGCATGTATGGAAATATGTAAAAGGAAAGATTTTAGAGCCAAAGAAGTGTGTCTCATTTCATATTTCCCTATAATTTGTTTTTGAGGATTTATATTTTCAATCAAACACATTCATTTGGAAGTAAAAGTTCTATAGAGAGAGGAAAAGAATGAATTGATTCCTTCAAACAAAAGTAATAAAATTAAATTACCCTGGCAATATTATAAGCATAGCAATTTCAAGTGATATATCTGAATATATACCGTATCATATAAAGTTATGTAAAGAAAGATCAGTTGAAATATTATGAAAATATTTCCAATTACTTTCTAAAATAAAATGTGAGACAATAGTGAAGTGAAAAATTTATATAATCCAAATCAAAGAACATATATGAAATATTTTCCATTTTATTATCACTTGAACACTTACTTCTTCTACAATCAAATGTATTTTCAGTTTCCCACATGGTATTATTCTGTCATTTCACATGTGAGATCATGTGAAATAACCAATTTTTCTGCAATTTTTTAAATGACATTATCTCTAAATCTTTAATTCCATTTCACCTTTAATTTTCCTGTGTTTTTTCCTATAAAATTATTTTGAATGGCAGAAAGGATATCTTTCATATATATGAGGCTTGTTTCTCACAACACTTGCTTGAGAAAGCAGTGCGAGAGTTTGAAGGTGACTATTTCCCAAAGAGAATAAAACTAATCTTTGTGAGCACATTTTCCCCCAGTTTAGGACCACCCTCTCTCCCTCCCCCTTCTTTTCTTCCTTTTTATATCATATGCATACATATTTACTGAGCACTTACTATGGGCTGAATATTATGATGGTCACACACCTTATACCCCAAATGTTTAGCACCAGATAAAATAGATTACAAATCACCACAGACATAGCCAATCATTGAGTTGAGTATTAATTACCTGGGATAAGATGCTGCTGCACAAATACCTCATGTAAAATCTTTCTCTTGTCTGTGTTGCCTTGTTTAGTTTCTGATTATTGTTGCCTATTTTTAAGTATTTTATTATCTTTCATGAAGCTCTACTGTTAAAGGAACTACTTTGTTCTGCTGAACTCAAAGGATATTGTTGAGTATGAAATGCTCTGTCCCCCCCCCATCCCCCCCAGGTGGATCTAAAATGTACCCTCTGTTTCAGCTGGAACTGTTTTTAATTAAATTTATTTAACCCATGCACTTATTTATGGGTTGCCATGCTATGTTTTTATAGATGTATGTATTCTATAATGTTCCAATCAAAGCAAACACACCTGTCTAAACTTTTTTTTTTCATTTCTTTATAGGGAGACTTAAAACTCCTTTTATTTTATCTTTTTGAAGTGCACAATACATTATTGTTAGCTATATTCCAAGACTATGTAATAGCACCTCAGAACTTCTTGTTCCTATCAAACTCTAACTTGGTACCCATTGATGAACGTCTTCCTATCTTTCACTCCTTTCTACACTTCTCTGTCTCTGGCAGCAAGTATACCACTCTCAACTGCCATGGGATCAAATTTTTTAGAGTCTGTTTATAAGTGAGATCATGTGACTTGCCTTTCTATACTTAGGTCATTTAATTTAATATGATCTCCAATTCTAACTATATTGCCCCAAATGACAGGATTTCATCTTTTTCTATGACTCAGTAGTACTCCGTTGTGTATATGTGATACTTTTTCTTTCTTCATCAGATAGATGGGTTTTTTTTTGTCTATCCCAAGATGATATCAGGTACCATCTTATGAAGTCAGATCAGGGACTATTTTCAGTCATAGCATCATGGAGTTTGCATAACACGTTTCCCCAAGGTAGTGGACTCAGTACTCAGACAGTTAATTACCTTCATTTCATTTTTCTCTCCTTCTACCTCCTTAGGAGAATTTTCTGTATCTCTTAAGCAAGATTCCAAATTCAGACCAATCATTTTCGTGGGTGTTCTTAGTGAAGGAATTTCTAAGAAGTGGCTTTCTGGTGAAACTCAGATTACCATTGTCTATTCTATCATATATCTGATTTATAAGATTAAAAATGTTTTCCCCATATCTCTATTTTGGTCCAGAAAGATAACAGTAAGTCTAATTTGGACCAGAATCTACAAAATGAAACCAAACATGCAGATCTCTTAATTTAAAATTGCACTGTCCCTAGAAATCAAAGTCGGAAATGGGAACGTGGCCTCTCTCCAGCTCAAGACTTCCAATGGAAACCCAAGAGGCTTTGGAAAGAGCAATTTTCTGATCCAGCCCAGACACAGATTGAATTTATGATTTTAGATTGGATAACCTTTGGATAACCTTTCTCTGTACTCTCCATTGTTCTCATTCTAAAGTGAATGACACAGTTTAAGGAAATGCATTAAAGTGCTTTTTTTTTTTTTTTATTTCTGGCAGACAGTGAGGTCCTTGTTTTAGAAACCATAACCCTGGATGTACAATTTAAATTGTTTGACACAGTGTTATGCAGAAGAGTAATGTTATATAGCTAAAAGGAAGCAATGTGTTTTTTTTCTCTTCATGACTAAAACATGAAAGGAAGACTAAACTTCCACATTTGGGATTTTCAAATTCTCATAGAGAATTTATTACTCTCGTAGAGAGTAATAAAGAAATTAGATATTCTCCAATTGAGATGTTTACATATTTAATTAGAAAATATTAAATACAGTTACATTCCTATACTATTCTCAGTGGTGGGAAAGCCAAATTTCATCAGAAGAAAACTAAAAATAAAAACAATTCCTTAAAGTGATGAGAATTTAGATATTAGACCTTTCGAATTTATGTATTTTTATTCTAAATTAAAATTGCAATATTATGCAACATACATTTTTTGAACTTCAAAACATGCTTTTCTCCCACTTTTGATTACTATGTCTCTTAATACTTTTGTTACTCTTGCCATTTTTAGGAGATAGTCAACTTCAACTGTCGAAAACTGGTGGCTACCATGCCTCTTTTTGCCAATGCGGATCCTAATTTCGTGACTGCCATGCTGAGCAAGTTGAGATTTGAAGTGTTTCAACCAGGAGATTATATCATACGAGAAGGCGCCGTGGGTAAAAAAATGTATTTCATTCAACATGGTGTCGCTGGTGTCATCACAAAATCCAGTAAAGAAATGAAGCTGACAGATGGCTCTTACTTCGGAGGTTAGTAAAACACAAAATATAACTAAGATGAAATTTTAGTAGTCGAAGACCCATGTCTTGTCCAGAATTTTGGACATGTAATAATGATAGTATGTGGAATTTGAATATGAACTTGTAACTGAATTCTGACAAAAGTTGCTACAATGTTCTCATATTTCGAGAGCACAAGTTCAATGCATGTGCATTTACTACCACATTGGTTGGGTTATTGTTTCTTTCTTTCTTTTCTTTTTTCTTTTTTCCTTTTTTTTTTTTTGCTGTAACTAAATAATAGTTGCTTAAGCCAGATTAAAAGTATAATTTTCTGTCATTCCAAGGTTCACAAAGAGTTGGAGCTCTCTCTACAAGAGTTTTCAGGAACCTAGATTCCATTTATTTTATCAGTCTGTCACACACTAGAGTGTTTCTTTTTTAATTTTCTTTCTTCTTGCCCACATGGGAAGAACTGATTTTTTTTCTACCATATTTTGACATGTTACCCATGGGATGGTGCAGAGAGAACAGAAGAAAGGAAAAGCTAGTAGTTGATCTTTAGATATGTGCCCCCAAATTGCCATTTTTTATGATTCTCATAAGCAGTATGAAGTGACCTTCTTTTTCTCTTCTGATTAATTTTGTCTTAAAGTGTACTTGGTCTGACATGAGAGTAGCTACCCCTAACAATCAGAGAAATTCAAATCAAAAACTACATTGAGATTTCATCTCACTTAAGTTAGAGCAGGCAATCATCAAGAATACAAATAATAGTAAACGCTGGCAAGAATCCGAGGGAAAAAGTACACTCATACATTTCTGTAGGACTAGAAATTAGTCTAAACACTCTGGAAAGCAGAATGGATATTCTTCAAAAGACTAGGAATGGAATCACCAGCTTATCCCACTCTTCTGTATTTATCAAAAAGAACTAAAATCCGAATGTAGTGAGTGATACAGCCACATCAATGTTTATAGTAGCACCATTCATAATAGTCAAGTTATGGAACCTGTTAAAGTGTCCATAAAGAGATAACTAGATTAAGAAAATATGATGGACCTTTATTTTATTTTTTTATATGTGGTGCTAAGAATTTAACCCAGTGTCTCACATATGCTAGACAAGCACTCTATCACTGAGCCACAACCACAGCCCTTACTTTAGTTTTTATACAATATTTCTTTAGAAAATCTGAAAGAACTGGACTTTGGTTCATTTTTTTCTTTTCTTTTTTGAAATTTATTGATCTCTGCTTCAACTTTTATTATATCCTTATTCTTCTGGCTTTAGGCTTAAATTGCTCCTATTTTCCTATTTGCTAATGTGGAAGCTTAGACTATTAATTTTACATATTTCTTTCACTTTAAAGTATATATTAATGCTCTATAATATACTTTTATCTCTAAGCACTGCTTTTAATGCCTTCCATAAATTTGATGTCATATTTTATTTTCTTTGTTTCAAATTATTAGAAAAATATCTATTGAGATTTCTTTCTTCATGCATATTCTATTCAACCTGTTTTAAATTTGGAAATTTCCAAGCTGTGTTCTATTAATAATTCTTAAATTCATCCATTGTGACATAATAATTTACATTACATGATTGCTAATATTTTATATTTGCTAATGTGTGTTCTGAGGTTCTGAATTTTGAGAAGTGTACATATGCTGCTATTTTTACTTATTCAACTTAACTCACTTCAGTGAGATTTTCTGTTGAATATTTTGTTTCTATTCGTGGCTTTTGGCCTCACTCATATTTTACTCTACTGACATGAGATTGCTCTTAGTGGACTCCAGGGTACTGGAAGCATGAGTCTTCATTCAGTAGTTTATGCAAAAAAATAGGTCTGCACTGCTTCTAATGCTTTTCCAAAGTCAGTTATTATTTGTTTGATTAAAATACCTAAGAAGATAATGTGAAGTAGTTGGAGTGTAATAATAACATATACTCATTTATCATATTATACAGTTTGAAATTTACTAGCTTTTGTTATCCATGATGTCTTGAAATCAGTAGGGTCAGTTTTTTTTTATTTACTAGTTTTGACTTTGCTTTAAGTCGAGCATGGCAAGTCCATATTACTGTTAAACACAAGAATCAGGGATTCAGTAAGGAGTATGCTTTATACTCTTCTAAAATGTCTGAATAAATAAACATAATCAGCGAATAGAAAATTAAACTGTAACTTAATGGAGAGGAACATAGTGACATGAGGAATCTTATATTCAAAGAAAGATCAAAATCAGTTTGTATTCCATACCTATCTTGTTTCTGTAATGATACAGAAATGTCTTTTTACATGGATATTTTTAACCCCATATAGTTTCTTTCTTTTAGAGGAGATTCATGCATCACCTCATTCAGTACTCTCACCAACAAGCTCCCAAATAATGCTTTGAAGAGTGGGGTGCAAGAAAATGAGCATAGAATAAGAGTGTAATAAATATTAAGCAGAGTCACAATCACAGGGACACAGCAATAAGCAAGAGGAACCACCTTCCCACAGTTGTGGAATTTACATTTTTAGTCAGCGTTTGTGTTTTAGAAAAAAAAAACAATTTAACAAAGAAACCCACTAATTACTGGAAATATTAAGCCACATTATTGAATGGTGAAAAGTGCTCTATATAAATTGAAGCAGGGGACAGGATAAGGAGTGCCCCCCACCTTCTCCAGCCATATTGAAATTAGAGGGCAGGGATGAGGAGCACCTGAGAATCCCAGACCTCCACATGAATGATGGAGACTGGAAGCAAGGATCTAATAAGATTTGTTCTCATATCTCAAGTCAGAGGAATACTGAGGCAGTGAGTGTTGGGTGCTAAAGGAGTGATAATCTTGATGGGGGTGAAAGGAGATTCTGATGTACTGATGATATTGGACTTTTTTCCATGAACAGCCGTGTGGCCCCCTTGGCTTGAGGTACGTGATTGATGCATTCCTTACAATGCTTTCTAGACACCTTCTCCACTCCTCCTATGAGGTAAATTGTATAACTTTATAATCTCCCTTTACAACTGAGGAAAACAAAGCTCAGAGTAGATAAACAACCTGGCCATGTACTGTAAAAGAAACAAAGCCAGATTTCAAATTCAGTTGTGAATTTCAACTTCAAATTCTTCTATGTTCTTCCCATGGTACCTCTAGAGAGGGGCACAATTATCCTGTAGAATGTAAAGTTCACACATTTGCAAAATCTTAGCTCTCCTTCAAAACTCTCCTTAGCCCTTTTCATCTGTATTTGCTAAACCCTTTTGTAATCTCCTGCTATGCTCCGCTTGGCCCACCCATTAAAGTAATCATATAGCTAATATATCATCCCTTGAATAAATAAAAGCATTAATACACAAAGAAAAGTTGGTGTATTCCTGTTATGATATATTTCATTCTTTTTAATAATGCTATTGCTCACTCACCTCTTAACTGCATGTGTCTTTCCAAACCAGTGTTCTAAATGATTCAGTCTCTTAACTCTTTTAACCTGTTTAATAAAACAAACAAATCAACAACAACAACAGAAAGAAACTGTGGCTTGGTAATGTAAAAAAATCCTATCAGAAGGAAAGTGTTTCCTGTGGATGCTATTAAATACTGTTTAATAATGCCCAACGTTTTGTTAGTTTGAGGGAACTCCTAAATAATTTACATAGATAATGTATATATTTAGGATTTCTTATGCCTAAAATGCATCTGACCAGTTTAGAATCATCTGACTGTTTAAATTTACAAAAACAGATCTGAAAACCATAGGCAATCCATGTCTTGGTGATTTTTCATCACCTGTAAGAGGACTAAAGCATCTGCCAGTCTGTACTTTGCAGATTATTCCAACTCTAGTAATTGGCATATATTTAAAAACTAATACTAGTTTTCTAGAAGGTGTGGGGAAATCTGTTGATGGTGAATTCGCAATTTGATTAACTCAATATTGCCACTATTTTTATGAGGAGAAGGCAGTAACAGAGAAAACGGTGAAATTTCTCATAGATTATCTTCCTTCCTTCCTTCCTTCCTTCCTTCCTTCCTTCCTTCCTTCTTTTTCTTTCTCTCTCTCTCCTCCTCCACCTTCTCCTCCTCCTCTTCCTCATCCTGATTTTTTAGTTCCTTAAATGTTATTCTTTTAAACCAGTCTGAATAAAATGATTGTTTCAGTGCTAATGAGACAACCATGTCAGGCCTTTCTGAAGGCTGTGACTCACTGAGAAATGCCAAATTACATACAACCACAGGAAAAAGCTTTGCTAAGCCATCAGGTGAAAGAGATTTCTATATCTTTTTCTTTTTTCTCATTTTTTATTATATGATTAGCCATGCATTTCTATATGTTCTTTTAAAAAAAATTTAATTTGTTTTAATTGGTTATACATGGGAGTATAATGCACTTTGATACATCATATATAATGGAGCATAATTTCTTATTCTTCTGGTTGTATATGATGTAGAATACTCTCACTTCACAGCTCTATGAATTTATAAAGTCAGTTATAAATGACATAGTAAAAGATAAAGTCCAAATGTCTGGTATACTTATGAAAATCAAGACTAACATAATGAAGAAATTTTATTTTGAAGACATAATGCTTTTCTTTAATAAAGTGATAGAAAAAGAGGAGAAGGAGAAACCTAAAAAAGTCTACATTATAATTCTAGTTCCTCCTGTCTTCATATGGTTGTTCACAGGAACCACATTTGGAGCTTTTTATAATTAGAGAATAAGGCCAAATTTTAATCCTATTAAAACAAAATCTACATAAGGCAATATACTTTCTAAACTTAATGTGTGATTCTTATTCATGCACATTTTAAAAACTTGTCTCTACAAAGTTCTTAAATTTCAATATCCATTAATAACCGGGAATGATTTTAGTGAAGTGTGAGGTTCTGTTGCAAGATTAAATATGTCTAGGAGGTTATGATTCACTTGAGAACATAACATTATTTTGAATACTTTAAAAACAATCTTTCTTTTTTGAAAACAAATTACTAAATTTTGATTATCAATATTCTTTGATATTCAGAT